AAAAAAAAAAAAAAAATGACTGTATCTTTTAAGTTCTTTCTAAAATGTGTAGTTTGTTTAGATTATTTCAGCAATGCTTGCAAAAATTAGTGGAAAAGTTTGAAGGTTGAAAATTGCATAAGTATACTTAAATTTTAATTTTTTTTGCATAGGATGCTTGTATTTTATTGTAAGATTGATCAGAAAGTATTCAGAATTTTAATTGAAAATTAGAAAATAATTTTTTTTTTATAAGAAAATCAATCATATAAATTAAATTACTATGTTATTAATTTCTGAGGTTTCAGCTGATGGAAATTTTTTCACAGTTCACATTCGGGGTCAATTTCATGCCAAAAGGTGTTGCAGATATCGGAGCTGATCGTAACGTAATAGAGCAATGTCCCTGCGGTACATGCAGCAAAGTTTTATAATAAAAGTTTTTTTTTAAATTTACAGTATGATGAGTGATCTGTATGCCTTAGCATTGTTATGATAGAATATAATAACTTTATTATTTATCTATTTTAATCTCTTTAATAATTTTTAAAGCAAATTACAATCATTTTAGACACAAATATTTCAAATTAATAGTTTCGCAAGGAAACTTAAGATATATGATATCCTTGCAATTCCACTTAATAGTACAATAACAATTTTTTTGTTGGCAATACTGAATTTACGTGTAGCTTCACCTTATCTTGTACAATACTACCATTGTCAACATCCATGCATTTCAATAGCGAGTCGGGGATGATTTTTTTTGTGCTATAGTGGAAGAAGAATTCAAATATCGATTTTCTGTTTCTCACCAATTTTATACAAATAGTATTCAATTAGTATTCAAAACAGTATTCTGGTTAAACTTAAGTTATTCCACAATATCATGACTCATATTCTAATATCTTGGCTATACGGAATATTATATAGATGATTCATCAATTTTTTTTTAGCACTGAGTGTAATTTGAATTGACTACCCAAAGCTTTTCAGATATCTGCATCTCGATGTTCTTTGTATCTAATAAAATGTGCTAAGTTTTTTACATAAAGCTTATTGAGACATAGTTCACATCAGTTAATTCGATATCTATGAAACAAAAGAAAATAATTGCTGAAAGTGATTAATTCCTTCAAATGTATTCCACTGCAATATCACCAGAGATATGTCGGACAATTTTTAACCAACATCTCAGCTATTAGTTTCTATTTTATATCACATAAACTATGAAGGATTAAGTTAATTTTGAATAAAACTATTAGACTATTTAAAATTTTCTAAGTCTTTTTCTCCTAAAGTGTTTTGTGTTTTGAATCATATTTCAATAGACTAACATCGTTTAATTGATTATTTAAACCAGTTCATCAAAGATATATATGTGCAAGTTTAGCTTGTGTGATCCTTGATGTCTTTGTTAAACATTTTCATCATATAATTAGTTAGCATTCTCTCGGAAAGCTAGTACAATCTCTTAAGGTTCTTAAAGCAAATTTTGTGTTAGACTATTATTAATCTATTCGTAATATAGATATTATATTTTGACATAACGAATTGAAAAATCATTTTCAGAGCTTTTAAATGCATCTCAGATGGATCATAGTTTAAAAGGAATAACCGCATATAGTTCCACAGCATTATGAAAAATAAATAATACCAATAATTTTACTAAAAAACTTTATACTTTTTATTTAAGTAATGCGAATCCTAAATATTAACAAACACACTATAACTACAAAGATATTTTAAATGAACAAACACACTATAACTACAAAAACATATTTAGGACTTCTTGAGGCCACATATCGCTTCATAGATTGATTATTTGACATGACTTCATATTAGGCTGCCAACATGTCCTATAAGTAAGTAAATTTTTTAAACAAATAACCCAAAGAACACATGATTTGCGTCAATTGGATGCATTATATATTGGAATCCGTCATGTTCTAAAAATACACCAATTAATAAGTTTAATTACACAAAATTTTAGTTGGATGTTACCATGATGGTTACGACGATTGCTAGCTCTAAGAACACATAGTATGCAAGCCATTAATAAGAATAGGGAAAGTACACACATAATACTTCCCAAAAGAAATGCATTTATTGTATTTAAAGTATTAAACATAAACTTTTCATCCGAAAAATCAAGCCATACGAAATATGGACTTTTTTCTGTGGTTGATACGAAAAACCCACAATATTTATTCAGTACTTCCATATTTAAATGAGGATTTTCACGCAACTGATCACAAATATCATCCATCTTTTGGAGATTGTCCGAAGTATCTATTTTTAGAGATTCATTTCCAATTGCGAGCTCCACTGTAATGTTGCAAGACGTTTCGTCAACTCTCAGTCCACTTGTGCGTAATTTATACATTGCAAGACCGAAATTTTTGTCACAGTCCCAATAGTTGTAACTTAAATCAAGAAATTTTAAGTGTTTCACATTCTCAAAAGCATCCGGGTTGAAGACAACAAGAAGATTATTGGCTAAATTTAATTCTATTAACTGTGGCATCTCACAAAACATTGTCTTACTAACTGAACTGAGCTGAGTATTGCGTAAATTAAGCGATTTAATTGATTCGTTAATGATAAAGGGTTCGTTTGGAAAATATGCAATCTTATTTCCTTCCAAAGTGATGGAATAAAGTACTATGTTCGATGAGAAAAGATTTGGATCGATTGAGGTAAGACAGTTGTTGGAAAGATCAATGGTGTCCACATAAATCAAGCTTCTGAAAGCATCTGCATGAATGTGATAAATTGCGTTGTAGGATAACTTGATGTTTACTAAGTCATACAAGTACTGAAAATAAATATGTTATCAAAATATCATAATATTTCCCATATTCTATAATGCCAACTTACCAAAAATGATTCGTCGCCAAGTGTTGTTAAATTGTTTTTACTGAAATCCAAAACCTGAACAATTTTAGGAACTTCATTCATAATGTCGGTGAGGTCTTGTCCACTAAATTGAAAAATTTTTTGTTAAGTTTTTTATTGAAAATATAATTGAACAGATGACTTCATCCAAATGAATCGAATGTAAAAGAAAAATTTGGTTTCACTACTTCAAAGTTATAAATATAAGCAAGTAGAAAATAATTAACTAATCTAATGCTAAACCTTTCAATAACTAAGTTTAATTGCTATTCTGTAAGCTAAGTTTAAGTAAAATAAATAATTTCTTGAGGGAAAATAACACATTTCATAACAGTCGGCTATACAATATACTTTTAAGGTAATCATTGAAATGATATAATTTCAAATCGTATTCTCAATATTCCCCAAAATAATAAAAAATACAATTACCGCACACCGCACATGTACACAAAGCACAACGTTATTCTGATCCTATTGGTTAGGTAGGACCAGACAAAACAAGTACTGCGTTCAGGTGATCTAAAATTTCTGAAACACTTTCCCTTCGTCCTGATAAGGTACAAGAACCTGGAATATTTCAAGCAATGCCTAATTTCATTATTCGATAGTTGATTTACATTCACTTCTGTGTCACGTGCAGCGAAACAATATAACGACAGCAATAGATACCTGGATTTATAATATTTCGCTTTAATTCATATCACTAAGAAATTAACAAGAAATTAAGTAAGAAGAATGCAATATGAAACTCATTTGATAAACAGATATGCTTAGTCATCCAACTAACACTTTTGTCAATAAATTATATTAGATCTGCTACGACACTTCACTGGAATCGATCTATGTATTCACACAAGTGTCACCTTAATTAAATACAAGACAACCATTTATATCAGATATTAAGTTATCAGCTGCTTTTGAAATAAACGTTTTCATAATTTTTAGCAAAAGTATCTATAAATTTGAACAAAAGCACTTAGCATTAACTCAGCACCTATCATTTATTTTATTTAAAAAAAATCAAACCAGAAGTTTTTAACACTTTTTTAAGAATTAAACAAATCACCTTTTGATATCCTCTTTGGGCCTCAGAATATTTCTTAAAAGTTTCTGTTTTCATTTCTTTGGCATATGATATGAAAAAATCTTACTTTGTTGGACGAGAATACTCTTATGAAAATACCAATATTCCAATAAATAATAAGATAACTTGTCATATTGGAGAGAAACTTCAAGGTTCTCATAAAAGATTCACTTAAACATTTAATTTCACATGAAAATAGCTCCACAGTCAATATTTCGTAATCAATAACCATGATTAATGAATTGCCAGAGAAATTATTTTGATATTCGTCTTATCCTACGAGTAATATGTGATCATTATTACAAGCCCTTATGTCGAGGTATTTAAAAACAAGTTTGTAAGAGCTTCTGAAATGAAGTTATAATGAAGTTGAAATTGTATTGATGTAACTTATATGAACATTGAAATTGAACCCAATTTTTGTTTTTGCACAGCTAATATCAAATGTCATTAATACTGATCACGTACCTGCAATTGACATGAATTTCATATTCGTACACATCACAACTGCAATGTTGAGGACACGATTCGATAACGCCATCATCGCATTCCACGAATGACAAATGCTTAACGGCCACCAATAATATCAACATAGTTTGGAAAAAATATTTCTTCGTATAGACACCCATGTTTAACTTCACTTTAAAGATCTGATAGGTACAAAATAAATTAATTTCTGAAAATTTCGCTTCTAATAAATTTTACAAATAAAATATTTAAGCACTTTAAGTTCTATTTAAGTAATTATCAACACCTGAACTTCACTTCAGACTTTAAGTCACTTCGTTCCAGAGATCGGTTTCAAGAACTGCTTGAATATTTTACCTAACTTCTCATTTTATTTGTCTGTTCCATTGAGTACATAAATTATGCATTGAGTAAAAGCTGCGGGAGAATTCATTAAGGAAACGCCCACCGATTCTTGAATGACTACAACTGATGTACTGCTCTCTATATTTACTCATTTAAGAACTTCGCTTTTTCTTCATATTTGTCTGTGTCTTTAATTTTAATGACAAATGAAAGTTTTTCTAGTTCAAGGAGTACGTACATACAAGGCATATTACATGAGCATTAGTAAATACTTCTTCCTCCCTTAGACTAGTGACGCCATTAGAATGTATACACATATAAGTTTTTTCTTACAAAAATTTCTTATGCAGTGAATACGAATACATTCTGCATATGACTCTGATATGTTACGCCCTATTGGCAGAGGGAGAGCACGAACTTATAATAGTATATATTAATCGAAATTATTTTCAATGTAGTAGTTGTAATACTACTACCACTTAATTATAGCAGAGTTATGTTTTGTTTAAATACCTATATAGATTTGAATGGAATTTTTGTTTAGCTCCAACGTGGCTTCAACAAGGCATGTCTATTTTTTGATCCGTAAACCTTACTCACAAACACCTATAATATATGCTCATGCAACTGTTTGTTATTTAAAAAAAAAAGTTCAAATGTGTTTACCAAAAATCAATTGTAATCAGTAATAATTCACTACCACCTCTTCAAGCATCCACCCCTAAAATATGGATCGGAGCCATATTGTGGATATTGTGGTCTCTGATTTATAAACGGTTTTCAGCCGAGAGAAGTCGCTACTGACGTGACATTTCAGGTAACCGTCAGGCTAAAGTGTTGGTTCGTCGCAGGTAAAGTGGGAAGATAAGGTATCCTTTCTCAGCGTCATCACATTAATAAAATGGGTCAACCATGGTCGCAGTGCTCCATCCCGTTGGAAGCTGGTACCCTGTTTTTTCCAATCGCTATATGCTATTATGAATCGATTATTATTCTGGATATACCCATCAAATTACTTGATTCGGTTTGTTTTATAATTTTTGGATCGTAAGAGTTATAAATTGAGGTATATTCCACTATAAACTGAGCACCATTGAGCATATGATATGCTCTATGAGTTGAGAGTATTTAGTCCTATCCATACACTTAGCCAGCAAACATACACTCAATTTGCATTTACTTTAAGATTTGAAGATCAGTATTATTAATTAGGACTAAGTTTACGTAATCATACCATTTACAAAATATATGAGAGAGGTATATTGTCAGGAGTTTTGTAATACATTAAGGGAAACTTCAGAGATTTCATAAAATGTATACATATGTATTCTTGATCAGCTCTGAGAATTGACTTGAACATTTGTCTGTCTATCTCTTTCAGTCCATACTAATCCCTCAGTTTTAAGCTAGTCGAATAAAGCTTTGCAAACAAACGTTCCGTAAGTGATTCTTGACTATTTATCAAATTGGTTAAAATCCATATATAGTAGATGTTATACCTATCATATGAACTGAACAATAGGATATGAGTTTTTACCATTTGAGAAAACCATAGCTAAATGATATTGGAGAAACTATAGATGGAGCTAAATTAGCATAACTTAGAGTGCCTAGTGTGTTAAATAAAGAAGTCTAAACAAATACTGTTTTTGAGTTATATCATAGCTTTTTTTAGAGAGGACAGACTCAATTTGACTGACTGAAACGGGACTAAAGATGAGATATTGTAAGCTCTTGTCAAACTTGCAAAATGAGTTCAGTATATATTTTCTAAAATATATAAATTGCACCAAATTCTTTTATTGTGTATTCTTTCACTATTAATCTGAGTAACAATAACTCCACCCAAATGCTGGCAAGCTTACCGGGATTGCCACGATGGTACAGTGGTTGCTCTGTTACTCAATATGAAACGACAATAGAATACTATTAATATTTATTAATATGAAAATGACGAAGGTCTAAAACACAACGTAAAGAGTCAATTGTGCATATCAAGTGCACTACTCAGTTATAGACATTCAAGAATCGGTGGGCGTTTCCTTAATGAATTCTCCCGCAGCTTTTACTCAATGCATAATTTATGTACTCAATGGAACAGACAAATAAAATGAGAAGTTAGGTAAAATATTCAAGCAGTTCTTGAAACCGATCTCTGGAACGAAGTGACTTAAAGTCTGAAGTGAAGTTCAGGTGTTGATAATTACTTAAATAGAACTTAAAGTGCTTAAATATTTTATTTGTAAAATTTATTAGAAGCGAAATTTTCAGAAATTAATTTATTTTGTACCTATCAGATCTTTAAAGTGAAGTTAAACATGGGTGTCTATACGAAGAAATATTTTTTCCAAACTATGTTGATATTATTGGTGGCCGTTAAGCATTTGTCATTCGTGGAATGCGATGATGGCGTTATCGAATCGTGTCCTCAACATTGCAGTTGTGATGTGTACGAATATGAAATTCATGTCAATTGCAGGTACGTGATCAGTATTAATGACATTTGATATTAGCTGTGCAAAAACAAAAATTGGGTTCAATTTCAATGTTCATATAAGTTACATCAATACAATTTCAACTTCATTATAACTTCATTTCAGAAGCTCTTACAAACTTGTTTTTAAATACCTCGACATAAGGGCTTGTAATAATGATCACATATTACTCGTAGGATGGGACGAATATCAAAATAATTTCTCTGGCAATTCATTAATCATAGTTATTGATTACGAAATATTGACTGTGGAACTATTTTCATGTGAAATGAAATGTTTAAATGAATCTTTTATGAGAACCTTGAAGTTTCTCTCCAATATGACAAGTTATCTTATTATTTATTGGAATATTAGTATTTTCATAAGAGTATTCTCGTCCAACAAAGTAAGATTTTTCATATCATATGCCAAAGAAATGAAAACAGAAACTTTTAAGAAATATTTTGAGGCCCAAAGAGGTTATCAAAAGGTGATATGTTTAATTCTTAAAAAAGTGTTAAAAACTTCTGGTTTGATTTTTTTTAAATAAAAAAAATGATAGGTGCTGAGTGAATGCTAAGTGCTTTTGTTCAAATTTATAGATACTTTTGCTAAAAATTATGAAAACGTTTATTTCAAAAGCAGCTGATAACTTAATATCTGATATAAATGGTTGCCTTGTATTTAATTAAGGTGACACTTGTGTGAATACATGGATCGATTCCAGTGAAGTGTCGTAGCAGATCTCATATAATTTATTGACAAAAGTGTTAGTTGGATGACTAAGCATATCTGTTTATCAAATGAGTTTCATATTGCATTCTTCTTACTTGGTTTCTTGTTCATTTCTTTGTAATGTGCGTAAAAGTGAAATTTGATAGATGCCATCTCAGATTTCTGTCATTAATTTATTTCGCTAGACTGTATACACCCCTGTATAAATCTTTTACAGATCTATGCCGTAGGTGAAAGCAGTATTATACATACATTTTTATTCACTAAATTAACAAACGGGAATGATTGGATGTGGGTTCAGCAAAACTTGTGGGTAGTGTGTAAGATCGTGCAAATGTTTTTGACATATGAAATGTTTGGATATTAAATGATAATACCGAAACTATGACTCTGGGAGATTTGTATAGATGTGCTGATATGATGTATTGATATACCGCAATGTCTGGCAGTTTTTTTGGGAGAGAATAATAGTCACATTAAAACCATTACATTTCCTGCGATAATGTTACTGAAAAATGATTTGAGTTGGTTTTAGCTTATACATTTTTTATCTAAAGATTTATAATTTGTTTTAAAATAATTTGAAAAATATATATTGCAATTCAAAAGGTAACAGACTGATATAATAAAATAATATAATATAATATAGTATAATATAATATAATAATGATACATAAAATTTTTTTTTTTTTATATTCCACTCATTTAGGTGAAGTTTGATTTCATATATTCCATAATTATATATTTTTGAGGATCAATTTTATAAAGAATTTTTGTCATTTTAGCGGACAAGATCGCACTGAAATTAACAGTAAACTTTCTGAAGCTGTTCTGATTTTGGATCAATGTAAACACAACTTTATAACAATAAGCGATATATCATGTTCGGTAAGTGGTTATAATAATATAGAGGAATCATTTTTCTTTTAAATTTTTATTTCAGTGCTTCAATTCAATTGACCCCAAGATGTCATACAACGCAATTTATTTTATGAATGTAGATGTTTTCAACAGCTTGATTTATGTGGATGTCATTGATCTCTGCTCTAACTGTCTTACCCCAATCGATAAAAAAGTATTTACGTCAAATATAATGCTATGCTCTATCAACTTGAAGGAGAATAACCTCACCCTTTTTCCAAATGAGTCCGTAACTAATAACGAATCAATGAAATCGCTTAATTTACGCAATACTCAGTACACTTCAGTAGGTAAGAAAATGATTTGTGAGATCCCAAAGTTGGTGGAACTAAACTTATGGGATGACCTTCGCATTGTTCTGAATTCAAATACCTGCATCAATACACAACATCCACAATTTCTTGATCTAAATTATAATTTTTGGAAATGTGCCGAAGGTTTAAGTATTGGAATGAGTAAGTTACGTATATGTGGAGTAAAAATTGAAGTAAAGATTTGTAATATTACATTGCAAATAGCAGATGGGAAGGAATTTCTAAAAAAAGATACTTTGGATCATGGCTCTAGTATGGACGAAACCTGTTTTGAGGTGCAGGAGCAACCTGATCCGGTTGTTAAACTGATAGATGAAGACTTTGAATACTTTCCATCACTTCCAGAAGAAAGTTCAAAATGCCGATGGTTTGGTTTTTCAAATATAAAGCACATTTATTGCACTTTAACTACTTTGACTTTAATCCTTTTGGGAAGCATTATGTGTGGAATAACCATGTTTTTAATTATACATGCTATGATGTGTGCATGTAAGATGGAAAATCCTCATGCTGATCCAGGTAATCTATAAATAAAGATATATAAAGATAATATATATATGTATATATCTTATACTTATTAACTATTTCGTAGAACCTGGTGAAATTCAGATTATGGCAAGTCCTATTCAAACCAATCGATTCTTCTTGGAACTGCCTGTTTAAGAAAATTTGCTCATTTGCGCATTTATTATGTGTTCACATTTATTGTATTTTAATCAACATTGTTTTCAATATTCTAATAAAAATAAATTAATTTTAGTATCTTAAAAGTATTTCGTTTGTAATTGAAGTTTATGGTCGTGCTAGTGATAGACAATCGTCTATTACTTAACATAATGTTTAAAACACTTTTGTTGGGACAATAGACTCAAATAGAGCAGTGAGATGTCATTGAGTTCATAAATTTGTACTACTGAGGTATGATCGTTTTTCTTGTAACCACAGTTATAATAATATATTAGTTAAGATAAATAAAATTTTCTTATAATAAACTTCATATGGTTTTGATATGCAGCTTATATGACTGACTAAAGTGTAAAGTAAACTAAAAGTGTCAATAGGCTTATTAACTGTTTCGGAGATGTGTAATTAACATAGAGACCCTCATTTATATGAAACTGCAATGTCACTCTTAGGTGCACTACAAGCACAAGTCAAAATCGAAAGAGTTTTCGCTATATTGAGATTAGAAATCAGGGGATTGGAAATAGTTTAAGTAAAAACATATTTCATTTCATCTAAATGAATTGAGGCTAATTAATTTTAATGCATTTTCAATACAACATAATTTTAATCAGGACAGGAAATCTAATTTTAATACAAGCATATGAAATTTATCTACCAAAAATATGTTAATACTAACCCACGTTACGGGAGATATTGTTTTGAGGACGAACCAATCTTGAAATTGGAAAGTGTTAGGTATAACAAAATAATCTGTAGAAAAAATAAAATAAATGAATGAAATCGGGTCTCATATGATGTGGAAACTATGCAACATATCCCACACAGCCAAATATTATTATTATTATTATTTAAAGAAGGCATTGTGCACTGCGACCTAAAAGATCTATTGTGCCCCTTACTCGGGTTAGAGTGTTTCTCTAAGTCCGATTTTTTTAATGAAAAACAGTATAGAGCCTACCTTTTCTAGTCTTGGATCTTGAGGACAGCCAAACAACAATCCAAATTCGCTACTTAGAAAGGTATGAAATAAAAATTTTTACCGATTGATAAATACTTTGCAAGGCTATAATTAATAACATTCTGCTCTGTTAAGTAGAATCATTAATGGACAATTTTTACAGACTTCGATGTAAAGCCATATATCGAAATCCTTACGGTTAAAAGAAACAGCATTAAGTTACTGGACAAGGCTATCCTTTCTGACTAATATTTACTGTTAACATATATATCAAATACATTAGAAGGTTTGCTTTCGAAAGTTGAGACCAAATGGTGGGAGGTGAATTAGCATTGAGATTATGCGTATAAAAGGACTTAAATTAAACTTTATAGTGTATACTTTATACACTTATATAAAAGGTTCTCCAAAAAAGGCTATAATCCATTTGCCAGCATAGTTTAGATATTAATATTTTCAGAACAGAAGTGTCATTTATAGATCGGTTAGGTTATGATGAATTTATTGACACAATGATTGGAGCATATGATGTAACATAACATTAATATATCTTTCGTAGATTTTTATTAATCTTTAGCACAATCTTTCCCACATTCCTTATTTTCAAGAGTTCAATATTTTTCTATCTAATTATAACTAAAATTTTCTTCATCAAAACCCTTTATTTTTTGGATTGCGAAAAAAATTAATACCAAATATATTTAACAAAAAAAAAAACATAAAAGAAAAAAAAGAAATAAAAGAAATTCTTATTACACTGAAGGGATTTATTATTATTATTTGATTTTCTTATGAAATCTTCATATCGCCATCTATTAGGTATTATTATTATTTTAGAATTTACTTATCAGTACTTCTACGACTTCCAACAGAATTTTTGTTGAGGAAGTGGAAAAGCTGAACTGAAGGAAGTCATACTGCTCTCATTTATTTAGACTGTTTACCGACAACTCAATTTTGCACTTATAATGTTCTTTCATTTCATAAACGCTTTTATTCTATTAAAAATTTTGCTTTCATTTTTTTAATATTAATATTTATATTTTTAATAAAACAACAACAAACTAGTACTACTTATCGAAACTTACAAACAGTCTCCACTTCATTTTGACTGCTTCCTGGTAATATCAGAAACCTTGGTATTTTTATTAAAATAGTCTCCATTAAAATGATCTCCATATATATCTCTACCCCTCTTCTGCATTTATAGTAGATTGCGACTCCAGCCGAAAGAACGATTCATCCGAAGAAACACATTACCCCACAATGGGTGCACTTGAGTTCCGAAAAACGTGTTAGAGTGCCCCAATGCATTACGTATCAATTCTTCTCTAAACACAAAACTCATGTGTTAAAGTAGAATGTTGTGAACTTGAACTTGGTCTTCAAAATAATCAAAAAAACACTATTCAGCAGTTTAGGTAAAAATTTTTCGGTTTTGATTTTTTATTATTTTTGTATAAACAAGAAAGACTGTTTTTTTTTTTATAAAGAAGACATGAATTATTGCTGAGAAGAACACAAATTTTGAAATCTTGGAAATTACAGAAAAAGCTATGCAACTAGTGGGAAACATAAAAATAGGTTCAATATATATGAAAATAGTTTTTGTTTTGGTTACTAAAACTAAAATTATTTACTTTCGTCTTCTCACCGTTGGATCACTAAATCACAGACCCTTTTTTAATAAATAATTATAAACCTATATATATATTTTTATATATTTTAATTAGAAATAGAAATAAACGGGGTACTAGCTCCCAATGGAGCAGAGTACTGCGACCAGATTGATCTTTTGTGCTGCTATATATATATATATATATATATATATATATTTTAATTACTTTGTTTAGTATTTAAGTCAAATCTCTTAAACATTTCCATTATTCAATAAATCGGTGTACTAATATTAATGTTTAGAATATCTAAGATTTAATAAATTCATCTATGCATAGTTTTATGAACATATCTGAATTTGAGATTCAATAATTCATTTAACTATATTTAAAATAAAATTATTATATTATTCGATTTTACTCTGTTAATATTATAATTTTGACTAATTTTTAAAGTCTTGAAATCTTAATATCAATTACTGCGATGAGGGTTAATTGAATTCATTTTTCAAGCTAGTTGAGAAAAATTTTTGTAAAATATATAGAAGCAAAATATTTTATTTATAAAATTATATAGTTTTAAAAACTTTTAATTAAATTTAAATGTAGCCATACACCAATTCAGTTTATAAATACTTAATTAATTTATATAATTCTTTTTATGTGCAAACATATTTTTATTCATTTATATGTAAATATATTTATAATACACCAATGTCACTAAATTAAATCGATTTATAAAGACAATTTGCTAGATTTTAATATACATATACAGTTTGTCAACATTGTGTTTGCAAAACGAAAAAATGTTACAAATGTTTGTTAAATGCCCAATAAAAACGATTTAATTTTGAAATAAAAAAAAAATTAAAAAGTTTACAATTAATTTAAACATTTTTCTTTATATTAAACTAAAAATTAATCAAAAATATCGTTAGAACAATAAAATAATTCACAAAAACAAAAATAACACCAAATTTGTTGTGTCAACATTGTGTTTGCAATTTTGCAATTTCTTATTTTTAACGGGACAGAATACCGTTAGATGTGTCTGGGTTTTTCTGTTTGTTATAATATTCTGCAAAAACTGTTCAATTTCTTTGTTTTTTAATAAAGTAGAGTGGTTTAAGTGAAGGAATAACTAGAATACACGTGATTAAATATGGCCTGTAAAAGAACAAATTCAAATAATATTGAGTTATTATGTTATAATTACTACCTCGGTAAATCTGCTAAGGAATAAAGTCTAATGTTTAATATTAGGTTAAGAACAATTAATAATATCATAAACAAAACAGAAAATGAGGATTGCATTAGTTTAAAACCAGCAGGCCACCGTATTAAACCATTGTCTGATCGCCATATAAGAAGAGTATTGCGAATAATTGATAAAAATCCTTGAATTTCCTTACGATCATTGGCATTAGGTCTGGAGAAGCTATTTAATATTGTTGTTAGTCACAAGGCAATAAGAAAAGTGCTATTACAAAACATTTATTCTTCGTAAGTTGCACGTAATACACCGTTGTTATCTATTCAAAAAATTGAAAAACGATTTCAGTTTGCTAGCACACATTTAAAATATGTTTCAGAGCACTAAGATGATGTGATTTTCTGGGACATTATGCTTTATTATCATGTTTGTGTGGGTCATGCATTATAATAAAGCTTGATTTCCACTTCGTCCCAAGAAATCACATCATCTTAGTGCTCTGAAACATATTTTAAATGTGTGCTAGCAAACTGAAATCGTTTTTCAATTTTTTGAATAGATAACAACGGTGTATTACGTGCAACTTACGAAGAATAAATGTTTTGTAATAGCACTTTTCTTATTGCCTTGTGACTAACAACAATATTAAATAGCTTCTCCAGACCTAATGCCAATGATCGTAAGGAAATTCAAGGATTTTTATCAATTATTCGCAATACTCTTCTTATATGGCGATCAGACAATGGTTTAATACGGTGGCGTGCTGGTTTTAAACTAATGCAATTCTCATTTTCTGTTTTGTTTATGATATTATTAATTGTTCTTAACCTAATATTAAACATTAGACTTTATTCCTTAGCAGATTTACCGAGGTATTAATTATAACATAATAACTCAATATTATTTGAATTTGTTCTTTTACAGGCCATATTTAATCACGTGTATTCTAATTATTCCTTCACTTAAAACACTCTCCTTTATTAAATAACAAAGAAATTGAACAGTTTTTGCAGAATATTATAACAAACAGAAAAACCCAGACACATCTAACGGTATTCTGTCCCGTTAAAAATAAGAAATTGCAAAATTGCAAACACAATGTTGACACAACAAATTTGGTGTTATTTTTGTTTTTGTGAATTATTTTATTGTTCTAACGATATTTTTGATTAATTTTTAGTTTAATTTAAAGAAAAATGTTTAAATTAAT